CCTTTCTATTATTTGTTTTCTTTGTCCCACCCTCTTCATGGATTATTACTGTACAGTTCTCAACTTACATGAGCAGTTCATTAGGGCTGGGACTTTAATTATATTTTGCGCAATACTGTAGTATGAATAAGTTAGAATAGATAAGATTCTAGAGGGTTTTTGCAAGAGTCAAGGATATGCCTTGGTGTCTTTGGCAACAGATCCCCTGTCCTGACACTTTGTCTGTCGCCATCCTCCCTCACCCAGGGATGTCAGTGGAGAAGGTTATTTAAACAACGTAATCCAGAGCAAAAGGCAGGAGGTGACGTCTGTGTGTGTCGGTATGTGCGGTCTCTGTCACGGCAGGGCCCCCCGCAGTCAGTAAGGCACAAGTAGAATAGGAGCTGTCAGTTTCTTTAGCAGCTGGAAGTGGCACTTGGGCAGGAAGAAAGTAAAGAATGAGGTGAAGGGCAGAAACAGGAGTCTTTAGGCCATGGACCTGATACTTTGCAAAGAGCTGTTTTGGATGAAGACATCACTGTGCCCTCATCTGCTGTCAGAAAAGGTTGAGGGAATGCTAATCTACTTTGAGCTGGGTTAGCTTAAATGGCTCACAAAGGTGGCATGAGCTAACTTTGATGACTTTGCCTGATGTGGTAAAAAGTGGATGTAAGTGATAATGTCTTCACTACAATCATCTAGATCTTTAAGAGGACAGCTAGCCAAGGGTTTGTCTCAGGCACAACTCTCTTGCTTAAGTGTTCCAACCCAAGGGGAAGGGGTCAGTGTGTAGCCATAGGATTTTTATCTCCAGAGTCTCTGTTTGCTTCCCCTGAAAAGGAGGTTCTCTGTAAGAGAGATTGGACTATGGATGCATGTGGGAGGATCCACAACACCTTGGGAAGGTGTAAAGCTTTGTCCTCATCCCTTGTCTTTCTTGCCTTTTTTTAGCGAGAGGAGAAGCAGCTGGAGCTGACCCTGGAGGCGCTCATCAGTCAGGTGGCTGACCTGAAGAACTCCTTGGTCAGTTTTATCTACAAGCTGGAGAACGAGTACGACCGACTCACATGGTAAGGTGTCTCACAGAGCTGGTGGCACTGTCAATCACTGCTGAAGCTGTTCCACACTCGGTTCAAAGGACCACAAAGTATAATTAAAAACCATTAGCCTATTGTCAGTAGGTTTAAATTTGCTTTTCACATTTCTGCTGGACGAACCACTACACATCTTCCACCAGAAAACCAGTTGAAATCCATTGGTTTCATGCTGTGTAGTAATAGAGTCACGCTAAGACCTTTTAATCTAGACACTTTATGAGAACTAGATTTGCACCCGCAGAGACTGGAAGCTTCTCAGACAAAGTATCTTAGAGACCCATATAAAATGAGCAATGGTTCTTTCTGCATTTCTTGACCTTTGTGGCTTTTTCTGGCTCTGGTATAAACTCAGCTCTTGTGTTTTGCTGGTTCTGCATGTTTTACCAGACAGTTTGAGAGACCTGCAAGGTGGCATTCTCTTCCTGATGGAGCATAAAGACGTTATAGCTACAGTTTAATAAACTATACGGTATCTTAGAGAGCGCCTGCCATTGCAGCAAAGCTTCAGAGGCAGTTAGCGTTTATGTTGCAGAAGGCAGGAGAGGTGATGAATTCCCCAGAGAGAGCAAGCTGAAGGGGACCTCCTTGACAAGATTATCAGTTATTTTGCTTCATTATTAGTCTGGCTAGCCAAGCTATAAATATTGTCTCTCCTGGCTGTACTGCTTAGGAGCTAAATTGTTTCTCAGACCTTGCTCTAGAATTGCACTGGGAGAGTTAGCGATAAGGAAGGCATTGCCTCTGTGTATGTTACTGAAATCCCAAACAACTGCCACTTCCAGCGGTACTGCTTGTAACGTCCCTGAGCTATTTGCAGCATTTGAGCTATCTGCGGTAGGGACTGGGATTTGTCCACACCTGCACATTCAGCCCTAGGTTTTACTGCTTACTGTCTGGAGTAGACTGATTTGAGGATTAATAGTGTTATTTCCTCAATTCTCAGCCATTTGAGTGAAGAAGAGATAAAAGCCATCTGTGGCATCCTTTTCCATGTTCTGTCCTCTTTATTTGCTTTCCCAGGCCTTCAGTTTTGGACAGCTTTGCATTGCTCTCAGGGCAGCTGAACACCTTGAATAAAGTGCTAAAGCATGAGAAGACC